GGCAGTATAGTTAGCTTAGACTATTTTCTATTAATGTCGTCTTGCATGTCCTAGAACGAAAAATGTTACACCTAATTCTACACTTAACATAGTTATAGACTTATATTCTTTAGCTGTTTTAGTTCTTTCATCATGTGGCAAAACGTCCCATTATATAGATTTGTCAACTAGGTCAGGAATAGGCTGTATTATTACCCACATTGCTATCTAAGTATTTTCAAACATTATTTACGGTAGCCAACAGAAGCTTGGGAATTTAAATATCCGGCAATGGCGTTTATTTTGACGGAGAGTAAATGAGATTGGAATACGTAGCTACAAGATTTATTTAAATTGCTATTACTGTGACAGACCTCAGGCAGTATGGTAAAAATTAGAATATTTGCAATATCAGTTAATGGTAAACCATTTGAGCTAACGTCGTTGCAGGTCGTTGTGACAAGACATTCAGCTATCAGTGGGAAGTTTTGCTACAACCATTCGTTTATTTTGCTTAATTATAAGATTCCCTTGTTGTATCGAGCTTGTTTGTAATTGCCCTCATTGCTTTTGCTTTCCTGGTTTCGCAATGTGGTTGCAAGATCATGACAAGAATTCAGTATTTTTCACTGAATAAACACTATAGAATGATAAAAAACGGAAAATCAATCAATGAAAAAAAAGATCGAATAGAGAAGGATCCAAAAATTCTAATACTGTTTGGCTTCCATTTTTATTAATTACATTTAGGAAGATAAACTGTTTTCCTCTTGCTCTGTACATGGTCTTCATGAACTATTCGTAAATATTTCAGAATGCTGATGATGCTCCTTTCTACTTTTTAATCGATGGTTACTTCTTGGCTTCATGCCTCTACAGATGTTATAAATAAACTCATTTTATATGACTTTAAATATTCAAGTTGGTCAAGTTAATGTTGAAATAAACATAGCCAATTTCAATCGATGTAATGTTTCTCCAAGAAAAATCATCAAAAATCTAAATATTGACAGATAACTTCACGGAATCGTGTACACTGGCTATTATTTTTTCACATCGGAGGATAGTTGTTGTTGAAAGATAATCATAGATTTCGGTAATTTTACACTAAACGAAAAGTCCTAAAATGAATATTACAGCTTTTTAACAATCTGCCAACATCGCTCAGTATCTTGGTTAGCCATGGAATAGTATAACATGAATATTGAGATGTAATGTAAAATTTCAAGTAAATGTTCTAAATGTTCCTTCAATTATTTTGGTTCAATGTTCAGTGTTACTAACCGATTAAAAATTATTCTTAAAATTAAAATTTTATAAATCGATCAAGCTTAACAATCTGATTTTCCCATTTTTTTTACGATATCCTGATAGACAAAATGTCATCTGTTACATATTTTCAAGAGAGCATCCGCATTATGTTGACAAAATTTACTTTTACATAGGTATACAATTTGCTTTCTAACGTATTGTAAATTTTGTGTAATCTACTAGAATAAGTGGTGCCATTTTATACACTAACAATCGTTTTTGCGGCTAATGTCAAGATATTGAGCGACGTGAAAACTAGCATATACATATTTAAGCGGCTTGCCATTTATTTCGCTATGCTTTTGCTGCTGCGTAAGCTTTCATAAACTTTTTGCTGACAAGATTTTATTTCTTTATCCATGAAAAACTAACACTGTTTATTTTTTGTAGTAGAAAGATTTTTGTATTTTATTTTTTATTTATTGTTATATTTTTATCGGTTTAGATTCAGCTGTCAGTCGGTTGCCAATAATCAATTATTGTTTGAAGTCATATATATTTAAAATTTTTCTATATGTGTTTATTTTTATATGTTTGTGTTATTTTGTTGAATTTATTATTATCTTTTAATATCTTGTTGCACGGTACTGACTGACGTATTGCGTTATTTGAGAGCTAAGGACCTATACACAAGCAATCCTATGATAATATATTCATAAAAGGGAACGTGATAAAACATACTTGCAAACTGTATTAGGGGAATGAGAATGAATTTTTGAAGAACTATCATCACCAAAATAATTGATCAAGCCCCTATCAAGCAGTGTATAATAACATGAACAACGAAATACATTGTATATTATGGAATTATCAAAAAAAGTCGTACTACGAAAATCAAAAGTTATAATTTATTTGGAGTATATCAAAAATATATTATTTGAAATTGAAGACTTGCAACATTATCATCTCCTGAACACTTCAAAGGTCAATTCTTTATGTAGTGATGATAGTTTCTTGACGAAGGACTACTGAAGCATTTTTGAAACGTCGAATCGAATTTCTAATAAAATGAATATAGTAAGGAAGGCCTGACAAAAGATATTTCGTGGATCTTGTAGTAGGGTCTGTTCTTGAACATAGTTGTTGTTATTGGTATAATTTTTAGAAAACAACAAAAAATTACCTGAAATATTTAATAAAATAATGGCAGAGTGATTTTTCTATAATAGGGCCACCATCCCATATTGATATAATAAAGGACTTTTTCTTACCTCCTCAAAGATACAAAATATTTGTATAAAATATACTTTGTACATATTTATAGTGTGACTCGTTATTTTTTCATTTTATCAACAACAATTTTGTGATATTTTTAGTAATGATTGTTATATTTAAGTCACATCACAGTAGCGGATGACTATATCGTGCGTCCGTAATCTTTTTTATGGAAAACAAAAGCATATTTAACGAAAAAATAAAATGTTTGCACTTGTTTTCCAGTAGTTCTGTTAAGCTATAAGTTTCACCGTTCAGCGAAATCTGACGTTTACATTGTCCTAAAGTAGTTCGGTTCACATGTAAACTTTTGTATATTGAACACGCGTAAAAATTGAGTGATCATGTTTCTGTATGAGAATGTTCTGTAGGGGAGATTGAAGATAATGGATTAAATCTTTGAAATTCTTCACGGCGATCTTCGGCAATGTACAAAAAGTGTACACTGTCTTCTGAACTATAGCGTCAGCGCTCGCTGTGAATTGACCTTTAATTTTAAGGAGCTATCCACAATTTAATCCTGTAAGACAGTGGATTTGATGTTCGGAAGTAAGGAGACATGCGAACAATCCTTAAGATTGTAAAATACAGATTATTTTTTGACGAATATAAAAAATACGATTATATATATTTACGTGAAGTTTTATATCGAGGGTGTTTTCTAAATTATATGATAGAAGAATGCGTATCATATTCTGGTTTCGACTTCAGTTCATATTTAGTTCGTGTGTAAACTAAAATGTCGTTTAGATTTTTGTTATTCAATTCCTGTAAAGATTGAAAAAATTTTATGATTTTGAGATTTGAGTGCTATACTGTTTTGGAATGCATCCTTTATATTAACTGAACGGCACAAGCACCAAATATGGTGATACTATTCGTGTATTTATATAAATTTATCTCCTTACTATCTGAAAAACTGACAGGCGTATAGAAACTTAAATATGAGGATAAGTAAAAAATTGTAATACCTTTGAGTTTTCCATTTTTATCGTTTCTGTTGAATCGTGTTGATATTAAAAAAAATTGTTTATTCTTATAAGGTTGTATAAAACTAGTTATTTTGGGGCCATGTACGTGAAAGATATCATTTCTACATGCCTGTCAAAAAGAGATTAGGCGTGAATGACAATTTGATAAAGTGTGTGATTTGCCGACTTCCTTGCCTCATTTTATTTTTTTCTCTTCTCATATGTGTACCACTTATGAGCGATTCCATTATTTTGCTATTCTAACAGATACTGTAATGCATCTATCGATGAACTAAAGTTTTGTTTTCAATAAAAGTTACAAATCCAACTGACATCAATGCAACATCATAATATAATCCGTGTCTAATTTATTTACAATATGGTATTAACGATTTTAACACAGGCAATTCTAATTTGAATTTTATAGAGGCTATCTGATGTTATACTTAAAATATTTATAATTTGTTTCAAAACTCCAGACCGTAGGATATCATCTCTATTAAAAAAAATGGAATCATTTTAAATGGGTCGCAGTAAATATTTCGTTTTAGTTTGGGTTAGCACTTGTGCCATATAGCAACCATATTCGTATGATATATATGTGTCATTCCAATCAAAATTCGAGGAGATAATGTTATGTAGTTAAGGTGGTTTTTTCTTTTATATAAGGACGTAGTCAGACATTTTGTCAAGTTATCGTATCACTGTAAAAATAAGTAAAGTAAACGTGGGAAATGCGATGATTATTGATACATTTATTGATTATTATTAATTAAATATAAGAAATAAACTAATGATGTGATGATGATCTATAGATCATACATGGGGGCATATGTGCCCCCCAATTTTCTGAATATAGTAGAGTTAATAAACCATTATGTGAAAAATACACCCAGTATTTTATTTATATCGACCTGTACCTGACCACCAAAGAGGAAGTAGCTGTTGATTAAAAACAGTGACAGTGGGGTAGCACGTAGCACCCTTATTACCGTCGGACTGGGAGTTCTTACGTCAAATTATAATTTCGTATGTCAAATTGCGATTTCTTGTGTTAAACCGTTTCCGGGTTCATGGACAGCATATACCTCTCGCTTATCAGTATCAACGATCAAATAACACTGAACCTGTACAAATGCCAGCTCTTTTATGTCCGGTTATACGATTCTCTGTCAGATCTCACTCTAAAAGTATATGCCATCTAATCTCCTATGAGCCTGCAACCCACAGACCATGCTGACGAAATACAGGTTGCAGTATTCTAGCAAGTATCAACAAGAACATTTGCGCCGTTTATTTACATTTACTCTGTACCAAAACCAGCATAACCACTCAATCCTCGCGTTTATTCGGTTACTGTCTGTCAGGTATTTATGGCCCGCTGACCTATAGAAGCGCGCTTATTTGAACGTTGCGCGCTGGTGTTTGTTTTGATACTGCGCAAATGACATTTGAAATACCCTATGCAATCGCAACTATTAGATTGTCATTTCACCTTGAAAAACATGCGGAAAGGGCAAATGTATGTTCGGGGGGACTGTAACGGATTCTCTACTTGGGCTTTCGGAACTAAAATTATTGATGAAACTCTTTCCTTGTTAGAAGATTGTCGAGAGTGACTATTAGCCAATAAGGAATGATGCGACTTCGGTTATTTTGGTGTTTGATTTTATTACAAACAAAATATAAACTAACAGTATACGTTAATGTCACTCCCGCTAACTGTCATCAGCAAGGTCGTCATCGGCCATGTTTACACCGTAGGTAGTCATGTGCTCAGACAGACCACCATAGTTCTGTGTTTGTTTACACCGTGTATGAGACCACTTAAATAAGAAGGAAGAAGAATCTGGTATCGCCTTTGTTGACCATAAATTACCAAATATCCATTCTTTATCGTTAGTGACGTCACAAACGCTGATCGTCGTTTTAAAGGAGGTACGCAAGTATCTTTCAACTCCTGTTTATGGATATTTTTAACGTATGTACTCGTATTTTAATCGCAAATACTTTTCAGAAATAGCATTTTGACATCTTCCCTATTCAAGTCATCAATGTTTTGGTATGCGGTAGGTATTAAAAAACTCAGTAGTTCAATTTTTAGTTGTTTTTTATTTAACAATAATCTTAACACTTTTGCACTTAAAAACGTATAAAAAAGGTAGGATCTTGGCAAGTCCTAGTGTTGCTGACATAGTAAGTGTGTACACACAGAGAGTAGAAAAGAGGTACAAAAATATCTATATACACAAGTCAAGTCTTTTAAATAGTGATACTTTCGAGCATCAATTCTGAAAGATAGTTTTCTTGAAAGGCACATTCGTTCTTTCTATCTTGTCACTTTTGTATCACAGTTTTAATTAAAGATTGAACGCTAAAAAAATCTCTTCGGTATTTCTAAACCCAAAAAGAAAAGCTAAGTACGTATAAACTCAGATGAATCTGATACATTTGTCTTCATCAGCTGTTAGGCTGGAATGTTGGAGATTAAATTATCAATGTTTTTCACATGTCGTAGCCCGAAGAATTGCTGCTCGAAAATGTTGTTTCTTCTTACTGTTATTTTTCATTCGTTCAAAATAAATTATTTCCTAACTGAAAATCCATCTCCCGTGGGGTCAAGGATCCAAGGGTAGTTGTTGGGGCACTCCATGCAGGTGAATAACCTCAATGTTTCTCCTGGGAGTTCTCTGGTTGTAAGGGGACAGGAGTTGGGTAGAGAGCAGTAAGGTTGTCCTTTGACGTCACATTTGTCTTTCCAGTCACCGAAGTCACGAAGGCCGTTGATTTCCGTTGGGTTTTGGATCCACTGGATTACCTGAAAAAAAAAATGGAAAATGTAGATGTAGGCACAGTATTATACAATATAGAAAAACTAAATAAAGCAATATTATATCCTATTTCACGAGTTATCATCAAGCTTTGACGTCTACTGAGGTGAACTGCTGATCAGCAAGTGACATTTTTGTGTTAGTCTGCGACGTTGGCAATAATGTATCGGTTGTAAATCTAGTAGCGTTTTGTATGCAAATGACCTTTTCTAAATAAAAGAGCTGTTAGCAAGTACAAAATGAATCTGAAGCGTACCAAAAAAAGAACAAAATACGACTCTGACTACCTGATGTTGACGGATCCGTCAGAATTATGTATTCTGAGCCGATATGGGGAATTTTGAGTTATTACAGGATAATCAGCATTCGACCGTGTTGGATACTCGTTGTTAAGCAGAAGGATGCCAATAGACAATAGCTCCGTTCTGATACGTGTTTGTTTGCGAGTAAATAGGATTGAGGATAAACGTCAGAAAGATATTATGTTGGTAGGAAATCATAACAATAACAACAAAGGATAAGTGTGACGTCAGCATATCATCAGTTCCCGTTGCGTAACTTATTTTTATTTTTTAACTTTCGATACAAAAATTAAATTGGGTACGCCTTGAACTTTACTTAATTATTTTAGGAAACACTCGAACTGTTCTGATATGACTTTAGGCAGTTTTTTCTCACCTGTAAATGTGTGACAAAGTAGACGTCATTTCTCGCCAACATCTCTTCGATGAACTTTATCAGCTCTTCCTTGAATTCCTTTTTGCTCTTCAACCATGAAGCGTGGAAATTGAGTCCAAGGGGTGCCCTGTTGCTGTTGAAGTGGCGGTGGAAGTTGTGTCTCAGTAGCCTGGCGAATTGCTCTCCAGACTGGATATTGGAACAGGAGTCAACCATATGACAACCTGGCAGCGATTCGTCGAAGGTGGGGTCGTCTCTTCTGTCCAATTCGTTCATGACCATCTCCCATACTGGGTGGCTTCTACTAGGGCAGTTGTGGGCGTTTCCTGTAATCAAAATGAGATAATTGCTATGGTGTGTGAAATAGTTAGATTCTAGATGAAATACGTTGATAGTGGGCACTAGTTGATAAGCTCTATCGACGCGAAAAAGCTCTGTTCGAACCAATGACGGTGAAGCTACGGGTACTAATGGACAAATCATTATTACTTCGTTGTTTGATGTTTCAGACACCCATCCACATTTTCAGATACTCTTTTTTTGTGTAAACCTTGCACATTTGGTATATCAGTAGAGTACATCATATTATTTAGATGCTTCTGATCCTGGTAGTGTTACGATGTTATGTAAAAACAAAACGCTGATAAGTTCAAATCACGGTACAGATCAGTCTGACTCACCGGCACGGCTATTATGTAAGAAACATATAGAACGACAAAAAAGACCTATCAAATGTCATCTTGTAGACTAGGTAGTTTTTAGGGTGCAAACTAATTCCACGTTTGCTCACTAGGACCTCTGTGAGCGTCCATCTATGGAGAAATAGTTCAACTACCCGCATTGTTGATTGCATATGTTTTGTGAAGCCCAGTAGTCTATAGTTTTCATCGCGGAGAAGAAAGTTGGTTGAATAGCAAGATCGCATCTGAGTGATTGTGTATATTGGTCTGCATGTGTATAAAATCAGTGATATTTGCTGTGTGAAAAAGTCATTACTGAATAAGCTGCCAATGAAGTATATATATTAGCTGTGCCCGACGGGTTATTTACATGATGTCCTTTCTAAAGACAGGTTATGTTCAAGGTTATAATTTACGATTTTTTAGGTTTTTTTATGTTTTCAAAAACTTTGAGGAGAATCACGGGAAATCACCACCGCGCCCGCGTTGTATGTAATTACTGTTAGCGTGTACATAGCTTGTAGTTCGACAGTGTACAGTGAATATAGTTAGGTATTTCTTATCTCTCTCATGTTTGAAATTCAGCAAATTTGCATATGTGATTTCCAGAATGGATAAGAAAAAGTGGATGCACAACTAATTTCTAGCTTTGCATCTGAAGTAGGTAAGTATATTTGAGACAAGAATCTAATGGAATTATCTTCAACACATATTATCAGCACACAAATCCTCACTATGCACCTAAGCATTGCCGTTACCTCCAGTCACAAATTACCACCAGTAATACCATCTCTGAAGCAGATTTTACATCACATGAGAGCTAAACGAGTTCGCAACGTGTCCATCTTGTAGAAACACTTAAATACTGCACATTACTAAAATTAGATCTCAACTTTCAAAACACCATGAATAGCAATACATCGCTTTTAAATTATTTGAACCCCTTTCCAACTTCTTGCAGATATGTATCTGTTCATCTTTCTAGATGGGATGTGTGAAGTCAAAACAAAAAGTAAAGTTATTTTGCTAAGGGATTAGTATCAACAAATGACATAGGCCCAAGCCTTGAACCGTGGGCAACACCTTTCCTGCAATACGTACCGTTGCACCTGTGTGGCATCCTGAAGTACAAAGTGTAAGGCCAGATGGGAACTCTGCCGAGAGACGCGGTGATGGAGGAGTCATAGACGAAGAGCTGATCTGCCATCATTTCGAACTGTTTGTTACCGCCAACACGCAGATAGGGGGCGCGCACTCCGATGATGGATCCGTCGGTGATGTTAGCGAAACGCTCGATGATCAGACGAGCTCCGGCCATCTCGGCCAGCCAATCATCGTAAGAGCCTTGGGACCAGTAGTTGGGGTCTTCTTTGTGGGTAATGGAGAATACCTAAAAAGGAAAAAGATGCTTTGAAAAAAATATCCATAAATGTTTTAAAGATAAACAGAGTTCCATAATATGTAACATCATGTGACAAGTTTTCGCACAAACTGCCCACCTTTTGTCACCACAGTCTGATAAAATTAAGTGAATCAGACCAAATATATAGTGTAGTTTTGAAAGTTGGTACAGCTATTTCGAACGGTCCTTTTTTTAATTTTTTCTCGCATTTCGTAAACTAATAGTAATATCATTATAATTCTTTCTACATTAATACTAAATTGACTTTCCAAGAATAAATACTTTAGAAGCTGCAAGCTATCCTGGTTGATAAAAATAAAATATAGAATTAGTCTTGTATATTTTAAGAAAAACTAGGCGAGTAGACCGAATCTACTATAGCACCAGAATCGGCGGCATCTACCGGCCACGGTGGTGACCCGGCTGGCAATGGGAACTGGTATACAAATCCAACACACGGCTTGCTATTTTCACTTTTGCAGTGATCGTTTCTGGTAATAGATGGCACTTTGTGCTATCTTGTTGATGAAAAATACTATACGAGAACGTGCCACAGGTATCAAATTAAATTAATCAAATTGTCTTTTATCGACGTCATTTTTTCATCCACATCGATGCAGGCACCAAGGGTACACGCTCCAGAACAATGAGCCGTATTCATAAAAGAGAAGCATATCCTCGGAAGAATAAGGTAAAAGTATAAGGTCTTGCTTCGGAGAAAAATGTAGACCTATAAGCATATCCTTGTTTTCATATTCATAATGATTACCTTATACTCGCGAGGATACCCTCCAAGAAGAAGAAAAAGGTTGACTGGTATCTTGAGCGACATGCTCTGACTTGTTCCAGCTTGTAGTTGACGTGGGAGTTCGTTCACTCAGCATCACTGACAGTTGTACTCCAGAGCTTACACAAACCGTTCCGTATTTTTACTGGATACAGTTTTTTATCAAATTAATAAGCATGTCATTCTCAAGTGATGAGGAAACTCTAGAAAATAATGGCAACCACCTGCAGTTCATCGCAGATGAAATTGCCATTATTCCCATTATTCAGCACAAGTTCCAAAAATAAAAATGAGAAAGGACGATGCCTTGAAGAAGATGTTGAAAAAATACGAATCTACATTCGGTAAACCATTAGATAAAAGGCTTATTAAAAAAATCAAGATTGAAGAAAAAACAGATCTAAATAAACTGGTAATAAAGCAATTAAATTGTTAGATTTGGAAAGAAAGTTGCCGAAAGCTATGGAAGGTGACTGTAATCCTACAATTGGGAAAATCAGAGGTGCAATTCAGGTTGGTAGTGTTCAAGAAGAAGGAAGTGAACTATACTAAGTGACATATAAATCCGAACACCCAGTTTAAATGGTTTTATTTTAATAAAATTTTGTATATGTACTTAATGAAGCATAATAAGTAAATGATAAAAATTTCAAAATGATTGCACTGCTTTAAAGCCCTTTGACCTTTAATAATGTGTGGATGCACCCTGATGTGCTACGCATTCTCCAACGCGCCTATGCATGCTTCTGATCAGGTGGTCAATGTCCTCCTGTGGTATCTCATTCCAGGCAACCACCAACTCCTCTCGAAGTGCTTCTAGAGTCTGAGGAGGACGTTGCAAATTGAGCAATCTCCTACCCATCATATCCCACACGTGCTCAATTGGGGATAAGTCGGGAGATCTTGGTGGCCATGGTAACAATGTGACATCATTATGTTAAAAGAAGTCTATTGTGACTCTTGCAACATGTGGTCGGGCATTATCTTGTTGGAAAGTTGGATCTGCTAGGGTGTCAAGATAGGGTAAAAGATGGGGTTCTAGAACTTCGTGGATATAACGCTGCGCGTTCATGTTACCTCTGATGAAGATTAAAGGTGACCTGGAACCATAAGCTGTAGCACCCCAAACCATAACTCCAACAGTGTGATGAACATGTCTTTCAACAAAAAACTGTGGATTCCTCCTTTCACCACGTCGCCTTCTAACCCTGGCACGACCATCGTGCATGCCTAAACAAAATCGAGACTCGTCACTAAAAACAATACTGTTCCATTCCTGATCCCAGGGTGACCGTTGTCTGCACCACTCAAGGCGATTATGTCGGTGTTCTCGAATTAAAGGGAGGACCTAGTGTGGCCGGTATGAAAACAAGCCAAAACTTCTCATTCGTCGGTAAACACTTCGCATGCCAATAGGTCTTCCGTGTTCTGCAAACCATTCATTTGCAATGGACATGGTAGTGGAGAAACGGTCCCTTAAGGCCAATAATCTTAGGCGGCGATCTTCACGGTCTGTTGTTCTACGGCGACATCCAGTGCCCCTTGCTCTTTGCGTACGGCCTTCTCGAAGCCATGCCTGACAACACCTAACCACAGTGTCTACACTTCTTTGCACTCTAACTGCAATTGCCCGAAAAGAAAGTGCAGCTTCCCGAAGTCCCACTATAAGGCCCCTATCAAACTCACTAAGTTGACGAAATCGTACAGGTCTCCGTACTCTAGGCATCGTAACCGATCGTAAAGGATGTCAAGAACCAAAATCCGCCAACGTTGATTCTTTACTGCGGCTGAAATATTCATTTTTAGAGCGTTAGTGAATTAAAAAAAAACAGTATAAAAACCGGAATGTCCAACTGATAAGGCTGAAAATTTTTTCACTTGTTATTTACAGTAAGATAAATCCATTTACCAACTTTTATTAAAATAAAACAATCTCAACTGGGTATAATTTATTTCTGCACTTGGTGTAGGTTTTTTGAAGGGAGTCATAAGGCATGGCTCAATACCATAACGGTCATCGCCAAGTAGTACAACATTTGCTTTATTCATTAGTTGTGATCTAGTCTGTGAATTTCTCCATATTCTGGAATCATGTACTAATCCAGGCCAACTGACATCAACACTTGTGAACATCTCTCTGGCATCACAAGTGGCTTGCACATTTAAAGTAGGTTTCTCTTTTCTGTTGATATACTCATCTCCATGGTGATTTGGTTTCAGGATTCCTTTGTGTGTACAATCAATTACACCAGTTGCTGTCGGAAACTTATACATGCTTTGCCATATCCGCTTGGCCTCCATCAGTTCATGGTTGGTAATTGGAAACTTGATCCATTCGTTCGACTGTGCAACTATGCTGTTCACAACTCTATCCACAGTCCGAGATACCATTGCTTGACTAATACCAAGTTCCTGACCAATACCTTGTTGATATCCAGGGTCACCGAGGTAGCGTAAGCATATATCTTCATTTTATGAATGCATGAAAGTGCTCCTCCTCGAGTTTCCTCATTCTCAACTAAAAATCTGTCCGCAAGCTGTTGTACATTTGTGCAATTTTTTGAAGTCACGACCAAGTGAAGGTAAACGAGCTTTGTACGTTTTAACATCCCTAAAATCTACAATTTCCGCCACACTCAGAATTTTTGAAGGATATGCGTCCTATGCCAAGTATAAGGTGAAGATTATCAATATCCTTTTACTTATGTCACTGCTTTGAAGGATATGCTTATACTACACCTGGAGGATTTCCTTCAAAATTTTCAAGTACAAGGATATCCTTTGTTTCATGAATATGGCTCAATCATTCTTGTATCAGCAAAAAATATAAGTCAATAACGTGTCAGATCGACTCCCCACGTCCTACATTCCTCTGGGCAGTTCAAAGTTAGATACTTTCAGAATTTTTTAATTTTCACACTAAACTGTGAACATCATTTTCAAACGAAACTTACCGCAATCTCGTGTCCCCTCCTATGCAGATCCTGCACGGCCGAGTAGTTGGTGTACTTGTGACTGACAAAGAAGGAGCCCCTGATTTGACAACCGTTAGGGTTGACGCGAGCTCCGTTGAAGATCTCCTCGTACAAGTCGATATTGTCAATGTTGACGGCGCCGTTGAAGGCCAGAGTGATCATCTGGGGCACGTTGGCGGGTTCCAGGTTTCCGGGGATCCGGGTTCCGTCGGCGGAGCAGAAACAATCCGGGAGGACGCACTGCGTCGGGTCGCAGTCGGGCGCTCTATTAGGATCGTTCTCCACGTCTAGAAATCGTTTTAAATCAAAATTCATTCAAATCTTCTCCAACCTTTTGGCAATAGCCTATATAGCAATCAGAAATTCGACAAAAATTTAAATAAAGCGTGTTATTTTATTATTTTTTTCCGAGTCCCCAAACAATTTGAACAAAAAGGTTACTTGATTTTGCTTCAAAAGCACCTCTAAAAATCCCAGAAGGAGACAGGGAAACGGAAAATGAGAAAAATTGCTTAACAATGAATAGTTCTATGCAGCAGAGAAAACTATCTTAAATATATATATTTATATAACTTGAGACGTGGTCATTGTCGTCTAGACCAGTTAGGTGAAAAATTAAAGCTTCCGCCTTTTGTTGGGTACTTCGACAAAATTTAAGCAAGGAGGACTCTTTGTACTTTTTTTATTCTCTCTAGCTTTCAATGGTCTTTGCCATCATCATCAGGAGCTGTATTACATTGATAACAGTAGCAACTATAATGTAAAATGAATTTAAATTAACTTACAGTAGTATGTGAGGATGTTGCTAATTGTTGTTTACGTTGAGGACACAACATTTAGCAACATCCTCACATACTACTGTAAGTTAATTTAAAATTCATTTTGCACAATAGTTGCTATTTTTTCTCAATGTTATTGCAGCTCCTGCGAAGATGTCGAAGTCCATTGAAAGCTAGAGATTAATAAAGTATTAAGAGTCCTCTTTGCTTAAATTTTACCGAAGTACCCAACAAAAGGCGGAAGCTATATATATATATATATAATATTGCGTACTTTTGTTAGAAGTACTTGTCTGGACATTTTTTTTCTGTGAATACAAAATGTATGCTCAATCTCTAAGTCACTTAGTCAGCTCTTAGTTTGGTTTCTAAGTAAATGGCTTTTGTTGTTGAGTAGTGTATAAATAAATTATGAAAAAATATTTTTATTATATTATATAGTATTTTTTCCGGCTCTACGACTTCAGGAACAGGGACCATTTCACTATTACCTTGTTAGGAGATCTAAGGTTCCTGAAGAAATATCGGCACCTACTGGGAAATGGCGTACTTACCACATGCATTTTCATCTGATTCATCCTTGCATTCAGGTTTTCCGTTACAGAAAAGGTCTTTGTCTATACATTCCTCATTTCCACACATAAGTTTGCCCTCAGGGCATCTGGGTTCATCAGTCTTTAAAATGGGAAGAACTTTCCTAGGTTCTGAAACGGCGAATAACCTTTAACATCTTGAAGCGTTGGTCCATATCAATGACACAACTACTAAGCAATGATCCAACTGTAGAAAATTTAAGTTACTTATCTGGAACACTTCTCACAAAGTTCTCTATATTTTTTCTATAACAAGTTATACCATATTTTTCTAGATGTGTCATTGATCAATCTAACAAAACTATACATGATAAAGATATCGCCTGTATTTCCGTTTGCCTGAAGAATTATACTAGCATGAGTTGATATCTGTATCAGTGTATCTTGTTACCGAGAACTCCCTGTACATTCTTTATAATATGCTCTATGAGCAATCTATGATGAATAATCTAACTGCAAAATAAAATCTGAGTTTGTTTTTCATCTTGACAGAATATTCAAAAAATTAATAAGGGACTTTTTCAAATATATGTAGTTAAGATGAAAATAAGTGATACCGTTGGCAGGAAGTTCTCTTTAGCAAAGGTGTAAACCAAAATCGAGTTCAAAAATTTGTTGTGTCCTATGTACAGTGTCGATTGGCGTTTTCTTTTCTTGTTTATACAATCTTATTTACAAAACTTTACAATAGAAAGTAGAAGACATATTCGGAAAAAAGAAACTTAGTCACAAAAGGTTTAGAGAAAAAAGTGCTTTGAAACAAAAGGGGACGGATATGGATAATACGAGCAGTTGGAAAGTATATTACACTTAATGGTGATAGGTACAGAAGAAAGTGAAATGAGAATCAATAACATGCTTAGACAAAAACTATGTATATGTATATGAGAAAGTGACATTCCGTAAAGAATAAGGATAGGTATGATGTACAGGGTTAATATTATTCACAGAGGTACGGATGAAGATGAATTTCAAGTTGAACATTTCTTTTTCAAATAATTTCCATTTATCTTTGATAATTGCTACAGCAGGAGAATTGCTAATATTTCAGCTACCTCTGCCATCCCTGTCACATCGCAGGGACAACCTAGACTCTAAAAGTCAAGCTTTTGTTGACGAATGAATCAGTTTAGAAGGAAGTTTTAGAAATTACATTATGCTTTTCTCATTTTCTTTCCTTTAGTATGATTTTATTGATTTATTTGTTTCCTCAAGTGGATATTGTACAAGTACTGTATAGTAAACTTAATTCTCCAACCTTTTCTCTCCAGTGAAATTTATTTTTTATTTTATATATGGACAAAGCTACTAGAGAGTGCATGAGTGTTGAGAGTACGTAGTATATTTGAAATACTTATGAATGTGATTCTTTTGTGATCTATATAAGCCGATGAAACTTCAAACATGACATGAGAGATAGCAGAAAAAGTTACATTTGTACATACCAGATATCCAATGGAAAAGTATTTATACACGTATTTTGGTTGTTAGTATAACTACATGGTGAAGATCTATGATATATCTATTCGGTGATGTGTTAGTAGGGTAAAAGTTTCATAAAATTAAATAACCAAAGCCTTCAAATGTCAGTATAGTTAAAAGCAATAAGCAGAAGCAACAAAGTGTTAGTGCTTGAGCAACTACTTTCTATAGTATCATTTCTCTTTATAATGTGAAATTTTGTATCCATAACCCAGTGTATTCGCTATTTATAGCACTACTGCTGCAGTAATGGGATTTCTTGGAGCTACGATTATAGTACAAGCAACCTAATACAAAAAATACACGTAATGTTCTCCGAAGTATAGGATGTTTTTTGGCGTTAACCACTATAGTAATAATCTACTAAAACAGAGAAGCATATGTAAATGTTAACCTGCTAGCACACTGATGCGACTAGATGGGTAAAGGTTTAGATTACAACAGATATATGTACTTCATCAAATGCCAGACAGCAAGATAGATGCCAATAGTGACGATTGATTATACGTTATCTATACGGAAGCGATACATTAGCTAATTCTGCTTTTAGTAGTTGACGCTAAAATGCTTGTACTATAACCGTAGCTCAGCGGCTTCTGAATTGTTCAGCTCTTCATAAATAACAAATCATCTCTATTTTGAACAAATAAAACGGAAGATCGATTTTATTTCAATCATACTACAACATGTTTTTCTATTCACTTTTGTGTAAAAAAATCTATGGAGAAAGCGTCATTTAAGTGTGCTCCCTATTACATAAGATGCTCAATCGACATACACTGATATCCACAGGAAACCTCTACAAAAAAGTCTACATTTCTACGTCGATGGCTAAATAAGTCATCAGAGATCCTAAGAAAACTACATAAAAAACATAATAATCAGCGATCTACTCAAATTATATCAACGTGCAAGTTTAAATCTACATAAAATTGTTTGAATCGTTGCACAAAGTCAGTCAGAAAACCTATTTTCTGGGGATAATAATAAAATTCAATATTACGAGAAACAAAACATCACAAAGATCATAGGGTTTTGGAAGCTGAAACTGATTCAGACTTTTCTTTCAGTTTCACAATATTTTTAACGTCTAAATTATCACTATTCGCTATATATTTCTAACAATGCTACACTTTCTTTAAAATGTGGTTTCCATGTATTTTGGGATCGATCGACATCTAACTAGTGCTTCCAAAACATGTATCATAAATTTGAATCAGGATAACTAGTAGGCTTAAACGAAATTATCATTAACTGGCTCAGACCCTTGTGTATGTTTAACCAATTTTCCACTTCAAAAGCAATCCACGATACCGAGGAGACTAGAAACAGGATTACATTTTTCGTGCATCCATCCAGTATCTAGTCTTCTTGGTCGAAACCAACATCAGAAATCCCATTTCGCTTGCTTGCACAAAACCCATAAAGTGACTATATAATCGTGACAGTTGCAAGTTTCCGTCACCGCACCCTTTGATAAGGTGCGACTTACTCTCGAGCTTATCGCAACTCTTGACTTTCCCCTTCCAATCGCACGTTTGCTTATCGATGTCAAACGCCAATCCGCTTGGACATGTTATTTGTTTTAGACCGGACTTTGTACACCTACATCATGCCCGGGGGCAAATAGAAACAAAGAATACGAACTTAATATTATTTTGCTTTTGGTAAGGAGGGACCACGTTTGAGATGACGTCATCAATTGGGCTTATGAGAAGGAACCTTGGTATCTTGTCACAATAGTATACAAACTATGGCACCTGCACAATTATGGTAGATAATCAGGCAACACAAAGATGATGATCAAGTTCAAGTCGAACAGAGCTATAATGATTTCGTGTATGTAGAATATTGTGAAGAAGTTTTTGAAAGTATATAGGACACGATATCGGTTGCAGGCCATAGTAGTCTTATTGGAGAGAGAAATATCTGGCACCACTAAATACCATATCGTCTGCAGGCAATCCACCTCATCTCTCATTCAATCTAAGCTTTAAGATGCTGTAGATTGTCAGAATCTGGGCGTACTCAAGAATTGACCCACTGATTGGAAAATATCTACGTTGTATACATCCACCATTTTGACAAATATATGAGCATTCGCCATTTTTTGAATTGATAATTCTCACAATGTCCCAGCTCGCTAAACATCTATTGTACAGTCATTTAGGCTGGATGAGTCTCTTGAATGCGAAAGCAATAATTTTGAACTGAACAAAAGCAAAATGAATGAATTGACAAAGTCATTGATTAACTGATTAACTAATTGGTCGATTTATCAATCCTATTGATTGTCTGTTGGTCTATTAATAAACCCAATGTCTGATCGATTGACAGTCTTGTTTGGGTGCGGAATCTCAAACGTGATCCCACCTCGGTAATGGACTTACTTTCTACTCTATCGCAATTTTTGACATTAGTTTTCCAGTCGCAGGTCTGGCGATCTAGATCAAACGCGAGACCCCCCGGACAACGCACCGACGCCAGACGAGTAACGCCATTTGCGTCAGAATTAAAATCACACCTAGATAAGATCACATCACAATTATTGATTATATATCAACCATTAGCTATATTATTTTGTTATGATATTATGATCCGTTTTGAAAGAATGCTATCGCAAAGTCCCGCAATTTTGGGCGCACATTTTTTTTTTGGTGGGTAAAAAAATATTGGTACAGGTTGAAGATGGTAGGGGAGGATATATTTAGCTTTTTGCGGCCCATATACACGCTTTTAGTTCGCAATAGCGGATTTGAGCGGAAGGCCAGGTTTCTGTTAAAATTTGCAAAAGTAATTCGCACGTTTCAAGCTTGGAAATTTGGATGATTTAGAACTGAAGGGTACTGACCTTCGGTTTTAATATTTTGAAGGCAATAAAGTATTTTGTTGTGACTCTAAATGCAGGGTTCTAGATCCAGAAAATTACAGCACAGGTTCCGCCTCTTGAGCTTTGCGATTAGATATCCATATGTGTGTGACAATTTTTATGAATGATTTTTTCAAACTAGTAGATGGTAGCCTCAAAGCTTCCTCCATTATTTTTTTAATTGCGAGGCTTCAAGAATTTTAGAAAATACACGATTTTTTCCTGACACATATGTGTCCCAGTCGAACTCAAGTTCTGTATATACCACTGAATATACGCACCTTAGAAATGTTTCACGTATAGGTTTCCTAGTATGTTTGCCCTCAAGACCAGAGTGGAACAAAATGAAAATAAATGCACCTGGAGAATCGTAGCAATTTTGACTGCAGCATTGCCGTGGCTTATCGAATGGGTGGGAATTGGAGCTAATCGTTTGTATCTACTATGATTAATTTAATTGATAAAATTTATATACTCGTAAAATACAATGAAGGAATGGGAAGAGTAAATGAAGAGTAAATGCAGACTAGGCCAGTACATGGATCAGCTGTATGCTCCAAGATTTGGAATTTTGTTAATCAACTAGGTAGTAAGAAGATGAAATCCCTAATGAGCGAAGTTATCTATACTTTGAAGTTGAGTCATTAATTTTCAGATAATGATTGTAGAAGGAAGATAAACCAAAATATGTGTGTAAAAATAAAAAAAAAAATTAAAAAAATTTTTTTACCTTGTTTTATAAAGTATCCTCCCGACAAGTATTTCAGTGCGGACCTGTATTTGATCGTGAGGTCCCCTGTGAGGTCTTAAGTCACCTGATTCACGAGCCTGTTGTACTACATTAACAAAGGCACGAGGGGTTGGTTGCACTCGATTGGGAAACCGATCCGCATAAACATGTGACATTTTTTATTTCGTTTGAGCCACGCAACAGACACTATTCACACGCGTTACCGACTGACACTAACTGTATGTATAACTGAACTGAATAAAATAATTGTAAAAACATCGTTCCAAATACTTTCGCTTTTTTGTTTCCGATGCGATGAACCGATAAGGCGGATTATATCCGTTGTTGCCAAACACGAGCACATGATATTATTATTGAGACAGGGCGGTACTCAAACTTCCAAAGGGCTATAACTTTGTTACTTTAATTTTACCAGAAAAATGGTAAAGGAAAAAAACATTTCTTTTGATCAGATCTACTCACTGTTAAAATAAATGACTCAACTTCGAAGTCACCCTGTATATTTTTAAACATATGTCTAAAATGATGGAAGAAATAATATATACTTGATTTACTTAATTCATTTGTTATACTGGGCGCACAGATATTCTTTTAAGCATTGAGTTGCGTGGAAGTCAACCTACCAGACGCCATTTTTTATGAGAACGTTTGAGTTCGTCTTATTCATTCCATAAAAATGTTACTTTTCAATTTCTTTAGAATTATGGGAACTTACAGTGGCATATGCGAAGTCTCAGCTGATATGATAATGAAAGAAACGGCTTTAGATGTTGTATATAACAATATTCTTTTTTATTCGACTAATCGTTTCTTTTCAGTATCTTCGAAAAGTTTGGGTTCTCCACGCCAAACTATTAGCGTTGGTTTGATGGATTTATACATACATCAAAATTTCGAGTAAAATTCAAATCTTTGACATTACAGCATGTGTTTTTCTGATTATGAAGGCTAATTAATATGATCTTAATTTAATGAAATGTACTGGATGTCCCATACTGGAAGGACTGATGAATGATTAGGTATTGTGTATTTTAATTATATTCGGGAAACCCTGCTTTATTATTTCTGACGTTAAATATGGAGTTTTCATAACGCATAAAAGCTCACCTAACTACTTCTCTGCAGTCACCGTCTGTCGTTAACCTAAAATATTCATCTGCTGGTCTGTTTTGACATAGCTCTTCCGCTGTTGCGTCATTTTCGTCTTGTTCTTCTTCTTGTGCCAAAGCTATAATAATGAAACAAATTGGAGACTTATCAGAATATGTATAATATAGTTACAATAGGTCTCTTCAAATGTCTTTACTGCTGCTTAATTCTCCTACAATACTTCTTTTTACAAACCGGACGATCATCTTGTTATCAAAAAGGAAGCAAATCCAACCAGTGTATCTCGGTTTTTGAATTTTTTAACATTACCGTCACCAGAAACTATGTGATAGGGCAAAGTTTAGAAGCTTAATAATAGACTGTGGAAGTAAAGTATATTGCATATCTTTAGAAGACATTGAAAATAAGAAGGAATTTCTTGGAACTACTTGTCTGTGTTTTTAACTACATACATTGAAGTAAATGGATTTTACTGTTTTTACGCCACATGTATCTCTAACCAAACGTATTTTTTGTATAAATTAATAGATTCATATATTATTGATACCTTTGACTGAACCACACTACTGGAATCGTAAGATGATAATCAGTAAATCCGTTTACTTTCTCTTGTGCCCATAGGTCAATGACATAACCGTTGGCAATACCTTGTGAATATTTTCAATGACAACCATACAAAAAAAAGTTTACAAATATTTCAGAATCAGTTACAAAACGGAAAAAAACGTATGTGGATTGGTAAAAATTGGAAATCTAGGCCAGTCGAAAGTTTTGCAGCCAACGACAGAGAAACTGGTTTTGGGTTTGTTGACTTGTCTGGCTTCATTGCCGAAGTTAAATATGTACAGGGCGTTTAGGAGAATGCAAAATTGAAGCGATTCTGTTTCGGTTTGTTGGGATATTTAATATTACAATTTCATATACAGAGATTAAGACAGCAATTCATCGGATTTCCTCCGGAGATACGAGCCCCGAAGCGACGCTATTGGCGATTAGTTTTTTTTAAATAAATTTCAAACTATACTGTCAATTTTTTAGCTACGAAAATATATTCTTATATTTTTGTTTGACATCGATGAATTAGCCGTTTTTTGAGAAAACGCTTATGTTTCAGCATAGTTCTATCAAGTTTGGTACTGGAACCAGGATACTAGTTCTATTATTTCAGATCGTTCAGTAAGATTTTGGAGTCTTGTCGAACTTTTTTGAGATCAGCTGCTGTATTAAGCAGTGGCGGATTGAGAGGGGGTTGAAGGGAAGCTCCTATTCCCTACACGCCCAAGCCTGACATTTTTTAAATATTGCCGATCGCATCCCGAAAAACGTTTTTGCTGAGCAGTTCAAAAGATTTTGAACATTGATCGTTGAGGATGTTCCCAGAAGGACTTTTGAACAATATCTGTTGTTATCTTATTCAAATGGCTAGAGCTATCTGTAGATGATGTCGAATTTGCATTCAATAACGTAATGTTAGATATTTATATCCCAGAAGGGCGTTTCAAATTTTACGAAGACAAAGATGTACATACGTAATGTATGCAAAGAATAATCTTACAGTGGATTGATTTTCCAAAAAAGTTTTTTCTTGAAGTTGACAAAAAAAAACGTATTAGCTAGAATTCTCGATTGCAATACTTCCCTCGCCTACGACGTGAGAAGGAAAATGAGCCCCACCTAGCCAAGCCTCCAGACTTTTAATCATTAATTTATCCACAATTGCCGTTCCGAAAAAATAACAAAAGAAAAGGTCAGACGAACAGAATAGCGAAAATTGCAACAGAAGATCGTGCCTGCGCTTGGTGCTTCAAATGCCAATTCCGACCAAAGATGGTTCTTGTTGGTACGGCGACATTCTTCGAATGGTGACCTTCGGTACCAATCGTACCAGTGAGGTGGGGCAAAACTGAAAGGATTCGCATTGGAATATTGATTCATTTTTTTCTATCTATTAATACTGTTTTAGATACGTAGTGATCCAAATCCTGGAACAGACATATTAGTGTTGAAAGTTTATTCGACGGTTGCGATGTAATCAGCAAGAAGCATGCATTTTTATCTGTTGCCCATGAATTATGTTTTTTATTTAATAAACATTATTATTATTATTATTATTCGATGCAGTTTGGTAGGTCAAAAATTAATATTGAAAAAGAATAGGCCGTAAAAATATTCAGTAATCTGGTTTTTCATCAGTATTTCAAAACTTTTGGCTAGAATTGGAATGATAGAAATTGGCCAGAATTTGATGGATTATCAGATTTAAGCGGTATAACTTTTGCTAAATTTAAAAAATCGTAGGATATATTATTTGCAATGCATTATCTTAGTTGAAGGTGGTATTAATTAAAATCAAAAGTTAATTCGATGTCGAAGTTATTAACAAAATACAAAAAGCTATCAAAACATCCTTGCACTTTTTTTCCTTTTTGCAAATTATCAATCATTTTTAGGCGTAATTAAAGAATGTATGCGAAGGGCGATTGGTATTTGCTGTAATCCATCCAGATTTATGATGGACATCCACTGATACTAACAAATCCAATGGTAAATACTGATGATACGGACCATAGTAAAGACTGATTCGCCTAAGGAATTTAAAGAAGTGACTCATGTTACTCTTAGATGCTTCCCAAATTCCATATATAAGACCAAAGCTTTTGAATCTTTTCATTCATTTTTTTTATTAATCTAAGAACCTGGTTGCTGTACATGTGTACAATATTACTGAGTCTAAAACCTTCCTAAGTCCATTGTTTCATCTGACAAGTCACATCATTTCAGAACAAATTTAAAAGAAGCTTTTAAAGGTGTTTAAAACATATGAACAAGTATGTAATCTGTCCATATATTTAAGGTAACATCTATTCAGCACTGTTAAGTATGTTGAAAAACGGAACAATGAACGGAAATCCATGCAAACTGTTTTGCAGTACTGTTAATTGAAGGGGAATAAATCCGTTGATTACTGTTATTTATTTATGCATCTCGAATACTGATATTTATGTACGGTGCTTATTCTTTTCATAAGGATGTTAACCAGTTTTTGACAAGAAGAGTATTGTTTGCTCAAGGATAAGTTACCTAGGTACTGTTATGTATGCAAATTGTGGTAAATAATGATACCGTACCTTAAAAATTGCTAGCTCTTGGTAGATAAATGCAATTTTCATTATTGTAACCAGTAACATCAATAAGGCGTCGTTTTCTTAATTTTTAATGGATTTAAATAGTACTTGCATTTAGTCATACTCATGCCTAAAGCTTTTGTATGGTATAAGTATTCAAATGACACAGCTAATCATACGAAACTTGAATAAAATCATGAAGTATTACTACTATCTATGTTTTGAACAGTTTAGGCAAGAAAACTGAAATTTGGGATGATTAAATTGATACATGCATACTCCATTTCAACGTGAAAACCACTGAAAACGTGAAGATCTCGTAACATGGAATATGGAATCATACGATACCTCATTTTGAAGCTACTTATAAGTACTTTATAACTGTAAAATACGAAATCACTATCTTTCAAATGCTGGAATGCCAAGCTGTTAATGTTGAGCATCTCTGTATATTGAAACAGTTATTACTCGACAATTAATCATTACAACATTATAGGATGTTATCTCAATCTCCTTCTTTTGGATGGGTCTATCTTAATGTGAAATAAAATAGGTGACATTCAGATTAAATAAATTGACAGGTTTAGCCATTTTTTAAGTGGAATGTTCCATACTTTGTTACATACTCTTATATGCCCTTTCAATAGAAGAATATTGATAGAACATACGTAAGCATTTTGATGATTAGCTGTTGAGTTGTACAAAAATATATTTATATTTTTTAATTATATATTTCTTTCTTGTTAACATTTTATTTTGTATCGGTTGGACTATATCGGCATATTTTGAAAATTAAGGCGATATTATCGAGATATATATCGGTATCAGTAGATCCCAATCCGTCTTGTTTTTTAAGTTCCTCATATTTCGCATGCTCGCTGTTTCTTTGTTCCTTTCGTAAACATAACGTATCGTAACCTTCATAGCATACACCTTAAAAGTACGAACCACTCCTATTCGATATAGCTGTTCTTTTAGCAACAATCAAGGACAATGTCGCTCGTATTTTATTAACAAATATACAGGCAGTCCACTTAATCCTCTGACACGGCATTTTCTTCACTGGAGAATTGATAAGAAACAACATTTTTATAGTCTATCTATTAGGTCGTTCTAATTAGTCATAATGTATGATAAAATATTATAACTGAGTTTTTAAACTATACCTGTTTGCCGTGAAACTTCAAAATGATGCTATAGTATTAATGCCATCAGAATTGAAGAATTTGTTTAAAATGTAGATCAACGGGTATATGCGTTTTCCTTGTAAAATTATGTATATAACTACTTCCGTACTCTTACTTGAGTCACACACAGATACATACCATGGTTCACAACATTATTGTATTGGATTTAATGTATACCATGAGTGAGGGCTTGAATATTCTAAGGACACTTCAAAACTTAATCTGTGAGTTCTTTCTATTGAACAATATTATATTTTTACACGGGCTTGAGGTGATTTTAAGCCTATTATTACGTAAGTTAGTTCATGTAGCAGTTGTATGCAACTTTTTTTATTGCATGCCATAACACTTTGAAATGCCACTACCTACTTTCACTAGCAATATACCTTACTCGAGTAGGAATGATCATTGATCGGATTTTTTACAAGCTAACGCTCGATATCACACGGAAGCTTGCAAGTGATAATCATAAAAATCAATTAGTAGGAAAATCATAATAAACAAGTAATACAACCAGAGAATTTAAAGTTAAAATGTACGTTTATTATGAACTAATCTAGCAAGGATATCAACAAAAATACTAGACTTGAATTATCATCATAGGTGCAACCCACTTGAATAATTGGAATCAATATGCAGTGTGGAACAGCCACTTCTAAGTTATCTTTGTTGTTCTGTATATTTATAGAAGAAGACCTATTTTTTATTTAAAAACTACTGCGTTATTTTACCCATAAGTTTATTGTTTCCGAGTATTTTGCAACAATAAACATTTAAAAAATAGAAACATTTTAATATCAAAATCCACTACAATCCATTTCACATTTGATTCAAGATAAAAATATAAACCGTAGCGAAGCAGATGTGATGTTCTTAAGACGTAATTAAAAAGAATAGGATTTCGTTGTCGTAAGTTTGTAACAATACCATTGTTGAGTAGAGAATAGGTATGATTGTCAGATGACAACTTAAAATTCGGGGGTTGCAACCCTGATCCATATGATGTGGCATGTAGGGATGATTTTTGTGTTTTTCATAATTAAGTACAATAATCAAGTTAACAAATTTATTTCATTTAGCTATGTCACACCGTATAAATAGAACCTACTATATAAAGCATTAAATTATACTTTATAACTATCATAATATACGAGCAGTAAACTAACCGCAATGTTTCGCAAGAAGCAAATAAATCAAATGTGACACATTTGTTTCATGTCAACTTTCCAGTACCCATTGACTTGTGTGGGAGAAACTATGTTGCGCTAGAAAATATATGCAAAAAGCAAGTAGAGGTCCTTGACTTAACATTAATATGCCCCGTAATGTAGGCAACCATTAATGATATGATTGATACCATTAGCTTATGAGGTATAAATGCAAGTATCAACACATGCAAATGGTTACCGATCTGATAATTTAACTCGCAAAACAGTCGAAATTCAATATTACAAAGGTTTGTCAGATGGATGCTTAATATAGACTTTTTTTTTGACAAACTTTTTTTTTGACCCGGTAGAAGGATGAAATATTTTGATTAAGTTCCACTTATTCACTTAATCAATACACTCTCCCACTAGCGATATCCTGTATTCACAGTCCGAGATCTGATAACATAACACGCAGCCAAAAGAAAGTTTCCCCAGTTGATTGGTGTAAGCACGCTTAACTTTCACGCAACCAATATCCCCTCCACACTGCCAAAAAGTTGCCCATTGGTGCACCATCTGGTAGTGTAGATAGCCGCTAATACGCTCTGGTCGCCCGGTGTGAACTAAGCCTAACCTTTTGCGAAAGTAGACATGCAACAATACAAATTGAAACTATGGCCTAGAAAATTTTCAACATTTCAGTCTTGCCTTACAATCTCTTGTCATAAGTTATTTAACATTTAATCCTCCCTGTGTTGTAGGACATCTGGTGACGCAAAGAATTACGATTCGTCTGTTATTCGCTCAGTGTGAAACACATTTAAAGTTCCATATTGGCAATGCAAAAAAACGTGTTTACTCTGTGTAACGCACCATCTGGTAGCCATGTGTCGCCCGGTGTAAACCATGCTTAACCTTGCGCGAAATTTCGGCAATAATTTTTTATTCCCAGCATCTTCAAATGTCAACAGGTATTTTGATTAGTTTCAGAAACAGTCATACTATCTACCTCTTCCCTCCTATCAAATCAAAGAAACTTCAAATCTGCTCTGTATAACGCAACATCTGGTACCGAAAACATCCCGTTATCCGCCTGGTATAATTCCGGGTTAACTATGCGCTAAAACGTCCACGCAAAAATACAAGAATAAAATGCAGTACTCACCTACACCAAGGACTAATATAAACCACAGCCAAGATCTTTTCGTAGCCATGCTGACGGTTCGAGCACTAGCTAAGAAGTGAAGGCGCTGAGACTTTTTATTTTATAGTGACGTATTTTCTTTGGTGCGCATGCGTGTATCATTGGAGTTTCTTGCTAGGATGGTGCGGTATTTGTTCACTTTCACTTCTGCACAACGACTGACACAGGCCCAGCGACGGGTGACTCTACTTATAGTGTATAAGTTGGATTTCGGTTTGGATCTCGAGCAATCTGTGACGGTCTGGAGATTTTAACGCGCCGTCACCACACAAACCTCTGAAATTCAAAGTTTTTTTAGGATAATCAATTAATAACACAATAATTACAATATTTACTTGCAGATATATTAAAACTTGGAAATAGTCCAGCGTTGCGGCGCCTTTATACTGGATAACAGTAGCCGTAGAATAGCTTTGATAGTACGCAGCATTAATCAACATGCTATCTAATCTGACAACGAAGTGAAAACTGCTATCAAAAAGACAAAGCTGTCCCATGGCTGCTGCTACTACTATTCGCCATTTGTCTGGGCGGTCCGTAGGACCTTTGCTCATTAGTCACTGTCTAATGTACGTTAGTCGAATCTGTCAGTACTGGTTGCCCAGAAACCAGACAATGTCAAGGAAAAAGAAAAAGGGAAAGAGAAGAAAAATGGAGAAGAGCAAAGAAAAACAGAAGTGTTTAGTTTAAGAGGAAACACATAAGCTTTTTGACTTGGTACACGGATTCATTTTAAAGTTTGATTCGGTTTTGTTAGAGTGTAATTTTAAGTTTACTAAAAGTTCGCGATAATTTTTTATTACAGTGCGAGGCGTGGCCTTGAATGTGTGCGAACCTGCTCCACTGCGTAGTCCACTGAGTCACGCAACAGAGAGTTGCTGTGCGATTCCGCTTGACTATAACGGCGCTACGCCTGAAGCCTGACATAATCCCTCAAGTAAGGAATGTCGTCTTTGTCTCGTTTGAGACATACCATAGAGCGTTGCAAATTGTACGCAAAGTTCTGCTTTGCAGCGCTTGAAGACTTTGCATGTGTGTTTTAGCAAGAAAACACCAAGCCGCACATGCATAAGTAATGGCTGTTCTAATAATCATTTTATATAGGCGAACTTTGTTTATGAAACTCAATTTGGAGGATCTACATAACAAAGGATATAGTTGCCGAAACGCAATTTGGAATTTTGTTTTCAAGGCTGCTGTATGTTTCTGCCAGGTCATGCCTTTATCAAGGGTGACACCGAGGTACTTGGAAGAATTTGTCCATGGAACACGATTGCCGTCAGAGACCTCTGCTGGGGAACCGCGACGTTTTTTGGTACAATAAATAGCCTGCGTTTTCGAATGATTCATTTTAATCAGTCACCGTTCCGCCCACTCTAGTACTTCTGGGCGACAAGTGCAGTGTCGTCAGCATAGAGGTAGACTTCACAGTTGCTGGGGCAAGTGACATCGTGGATAAAAGGAGAATAAAGGATTGGTCCTAGGACGGAACCCTGAGGAACACCGGCCCGTACTGGCCGTGTTGTTGACAAAACATTGTTAATTTTGATCCGAAACTTTCTTCCTTCAAGAAAGGATTTCAGTAATTTCAGAAGCCAAAAAGGAAAACCCTTTGAGATTAGCTTATAAAGGAGGCCCGCGTGCCATACCTTGGCAAAGGCTTTTGAGACATCCAAAAGCAAGATGCCAGTACTCATGCTGAGGGTGAACCCTCCGGTTACATGTTCCACCAGCCTGACTGCCTGTAGCTCAATGCTATGCTCGGACCGAAAACCGAATTGAACGTCAGGATTGCTACTGCTATTCAGCATAAAAACGCTGCACTGCTGGCCTGTTTTACATTGGCTGAACGTTCTCATAGTAACATCTGAAACTTATCATGAGGTTTTCATGTTGATAATAATCGCCCATGTTTTCCTTGCTGAACCAAACCACAATTAGGTATATTTAAGATTCATCTTTATTGTACGACATTTGGTTCCAGCCAACGAATTCGAATCATCTTAGTGCATACTTTTAACTCATTTGTCTACTAATGCCTGCCAAAGTAACAGCGTTATATCAAAATAATAATAATAATAATAATAATCATAACAATAATAATAATAGTAATAATAATAATAATAACAATAATACGTACAGCATGAAATATAGCTACCCTTGCAAGCTTGTGCTGCTCTTTGCAAATTATGTGAGAAGTAGCACGTCCTGAAATTGACTAACACCACAATTATCTGCAAATAACTCTAAAACTACGAATTAAATAACATAACTGTCAAAAATTTACTTATGTTGAGAGTAATTTGATCCTCATTACGGACTATGAGAGTTAAGGAGACAAACCAAATCTTTAAGTGACTCCTAGTCTAAATTCGTTGATGGCAACGGTGACCTTTTTCAAGTACAACTGACTCTTTTTGACAATATGTTTTATTTTTCCGGGTGGACTTCGCTTGTTCTTTCTTTCATTTTCACTTTCCTATACAGTCCGTTACTACAATTGTCTGAAAGCTCCTCTAACTTCACGTCACTCGAATTTTAAGATGGCACCGCGCAAAACCAACAAAGCCCAAGGTCGCGTTGTTTTTAATGTACCAGACACGTCACCCTCGTCCATCATCCCGAAAACGCCGAAAGTCCTCCGAAAACGCAAAAACGCACACAGAACTGTTATCGTACACACCGGTTGTTATGCAAGTTTCGACTAAAATGCTGCATGTGCATTGTTTATGGATCTGAAATGCGTGAAGTCGATATGTAAAGAAAACCATGTTATAGCACAATAAAGAGGGATTTCAAACATATATGGTTTGATTCGGCCAGACAAACTTTCTGGATTATGAAAATAACGCTTTATTCGCTCAATGTCTGGAGACTTCAACGTGCCATCACGACCTAAGCCTCTGAACCTAAAACAATTGACGCTAAAATAATGCACAATAATGGTTATTTTTATTTCAAACAAGGCGTTTCCTGTATCTAGCGTTTACCGTCAATAAAGACAGTATTGAAAGGAAGAAACGTGTTCCTTTCAAAAAAGCTCGCCCTAAGGATTTCAAACAAAAATAAATAGTAGCCAATACAGAGTTTGTGGCACTACTGAATATACGCTTGTAATTTGCTAATATAGGTGATTATCATAAACAAGCTACATCTGCCTATATTTTTTTTCTTATTTAGCAGCGATATGAAGACTCCCCGAGACGTTGGTAATTACAGTAACAAGTTGTACGCAATCTTCAGCTAATCTGAATTGTTCAGACTTCGAGTTAATTTTCCAGTGTCCCTCAGCCAAGACTTGCTTCCTTAGGACTCCGCTGCAACCATCGATTTGACCCTTTATTATGAGCTGGAGGACTTGATAACGATCTCCTCCAAGCACATATCCTAGATACATTTTCCGTACTTTAATAGCTTTAAATGGGGTTCGACCGATACTGATATGTATATCGGCAGTATCATCCTATTTTGCCGATATATGAATCGGCCGATATGACTCCCATTTTTACGCTTATAAGTCGACCGATATAAATTATGGAATTATTAACGTTTAATATGATTATATAGAAGAAACACAATAGAAAATGTATAGAGAATATAATATATTCTTCGATATTAAGTAAAATTGAGTTGTTAACAGTTTAATTTAAATTTGTTTGTTTGGTTATAATATCCCGTATCGTAACAATTTCAAGTTTTTTTTGTTCTAGTAAACCGTATCTTATTTAATTCAATAAAAAAGAAATTTAGAAAAAAATACTTGTTACTTTATCATTTAGATGTCAAATTGCAAAACTTCTCATGAAAAATACCGATCCATACTTACGGGATATTAGAATTAGAACCACCGATATATTAATTTATTAATTGTATTAAAGTACTCGTAACTTCTTACGTGTATAATAAAACGAAACGCAATATCCATTTTCAGTTATCAGTGTTACCTGAATCGTTTAAATTTTGCATGTAGTACAGCTGTACTTTTCTACCATCTAATATTTTTATTCAGTAAATGGTTAAGTGTAAGAATAGCTCTTATAGCTAAACTTCACTATTAAGCTGCTCACAAATTTAATTATACATACTACATGCAATACTTGCAATTTTTTTTAATAAAATACGGTTTATCATTATTATAATTATTATTTTCTTATACTCATTCCTGTAATATTTATAACAGCGATACTTCATATTTGATGTGTTCGTATTTTCACCAAAGAAATCTGTTTTTGAATAGCGAAGAAGTTGTACTATCGGTTTCGTCAATGATTTTATCAGTAATTTTGCAATAATAGCTTTCCTAACGTTTCATATTTTGTCACTTCGCAAGCGCCAGTGTCCGTTTTACACGTTTTTTTTTAATCTAAGCAAAAGCAGTTTAATTGAGTATGTGGTCATAGTTCATTGCACTTTGAATTGCTACTATTCAATTCTGTTTGTATCACCTGTTACGGTACCAAAAATTTGAAAAAGTATACTTGGTTACGTGAAGTCGCTGTGTCTTTCATATTATTGTACAAGAGACATACAAACCTACTTGTAAGCCCACGTACACACCCGAAATAAAATACACGGCTTAATATCGTATTTGAGTTTTAAAACATTGAAATTTCGAATAATCTTCACAGTTTTAAAATAATAATACAGGAGTAAGCCTGTTTGGTATTGAAAATTAGAGTTATTAAAGTGTTGACTTGTTAACATACCACATGTTTTGATTTTGCATTTTTGTGCATAGGGAAGACTTGGGCAGAGCGTTTACCTGGGAAAGTCGAATTTCCTGTTCTAGGTGTATATCCAAACAATGAATCGACCACCTACAAAATGCATACACTTGTTCAATAACCGGCAATCGGTTGTAGACGAACCCACGTGCTTATTTGATTATTACCAGACATCAAAATGTATGTTTTTTAAATATTAACATGGCAAAATGTGCATCTAATTCCATCTTTATACTAGCTATACCAACAGCTATTTTAAAATCTTTAGCGTATATTCAAATGACCTGAAGTCATACAATGAGTCAAATTTTTGGGCAAAAAAATAAAACTCAAGGGAATAAAGCCGATAATCTTAGTTTTGTAGTTAATGAATTTCAAATTGATATTTCGGTGCACCTAGCACTTAAATGTGAAAATAAACAATACAGGGACACTAGCACTATTTTTGGAATGACCCATTGAATTACCCGCTGTCATGTAGCACTGAACGTGTATTACGTGGTGTTATTTGTAGTGAAACCCCAGTGACTTATATCCAGAATAATGAAGCATTTTGAGTAAAAAGAGCATGTTGGTAAAAGAAGGTCACAAGTGGTTTTTGAACTGACCCAGTCATTGTATTTTAAATGATAAAGTTTCTGCTCATCTATCTGTAGAGAAGCATCTACATGTGGCTGGCGGCTGAATACAAAAAACTTTCCTTTTCTTCTACATCTACGAAATTGCTTTATTGTCGCGCCTTGTATAATGTCATGCTAATACAAGCACTACAGCCTTCACTGACACACACGACAAGGCGATTGCAAAAGTGCAGAATGCAGAATATTATCAGTGTGTTATGCGTAAACATGTGACTAATTCGCAAAGGCGTGAAATATTGAAAGACGTAAGATGTCATGATGGGATTGCGATATATCGACGTTAACGCAACGTTCTTTAATTTTAATCCACCGGGAGGAACGAGTTGCTTTTACAGGCGTTATTTGCCCTTTAAATCCTACGCATCAGACAAGATGTATGTACAGGGTGTCCTCAAAGTTGGAACTTCACTTACATAGCGTGTAGATCTTGAAGCGTAAAGATTATAGTCTTGACATGACAGAGACGTTAAGCTCCAAAAAATCAATCAAATCTAATCTGGTCCTACACCTCAATCAAATTAAACGTGAGCATGCACGATGCAGATCAGTACTTACTCCAGGCACTGGACGCGTTTGTAAACAAAACCTTTACACATCGGTTCTAAAAACAAGTGGCACGCTCTTACACCAATATTGGAGTTATGCATTTATTTTAATTGGTGTCTTCGAAATACTACCGAGGCTTGGCGAGTGAATGCAGATCGCTTTAAAGATATTTAGTGATCTCATTTTTTGTTTGGCGAAATGAAATGTTTAGTATATAAAACTAAACTGAAAACACGGTTGACGTACTCCGTGTGCAATTTTAGCAATATGCTACATTCAGTCGGGAAAGGCTGTCCATTCTAAAAGCCTACACCTATGCATATACGTATACACGTGTCTGTCAATATATCGTAGACAATATTGAACAATACCTACTATGAGCTTTTCTTGAAATTTATTTTCATTAACGGTCAGTATTTTTTCATTTTTTTTTTTACTTTTTCGCTGTTGTTCCACCGCACATTAACTTAGTTATTACAAGCGTAGTTGTATTTGGAAAGGAAAGTCACAACTTCTAGGACCCATGTGAAGAATAAATTAAAACGTTGATATAGGGACAAACATAACAGTGAAGATTCCAAAGCAAGAGATAGCAAAAGGAACGCCCAGTTAGTCATATGGCAGGAGAGATGAAATGCAACTGATCATGGTGCATGAACTTCACGGCTTATTCCGGATATTGAGACCTGAATTGATTAGAGAGGTTGATAGATTACTATATTTCACAATTCTCCACTGCATATGCATTATCGGAGAATTACACACGTTGGAGAGGAATATCCGGCAGAGTCACTATAAAAGTTTTCACTGTTTAAAAAAGGTATTTTTATAAATTATATATTACACTAAAACACATAAGGGCATTCCTGTATATGTACTCTCAAATAAACGAATCCTTGATAAATTCTCCTGGAATAAGAGATAATGGGTACCATCATACCACTACCATTACGCACCTTGACACCAAACTGAACTAGAAGCACTATATAGTAAAGTAAGTTTTCATGAACAATGTTTTTCGTTATCAATACTCTCAAAACTGTAACTCCATCACAGTCATGATCTCTGAGCATACCTTAACATATGAATAATAATATGGTTCTCAAGAATAGTATTGCTCCAAGGATCCTATCCTAGAAATTATCTAAAGCCTTCAGAAAGGCTTCTGAAGAACATGATTACGTAATGCCCCCGGTGGCTCATTTAATAGGGAGATTGGCGCGATTTGACTACACCTACGGTGGGAATTGAAGCTCAACGAGAGGTTCACCGCTGATAATTTTACCAGGCATGTAAACTAGGGTTGAGATCCACCCAATAGTGAAACAAATGATGCTGGGCAAGATGCAGGAGGAGAAAAATATACCAAGAAACCAACAACAGAGTCCTGTTTACCAGGTTGTGCATGCACATAAGTAGAGGTAACTCAGAATCTCGTGATCTGTGGCCTTGAATGCTCAGAATGCAGAAACAATACGCTGGAAACGCTACTACATTAGGTAAGAACATTATAGGTTTTTCTATCTATTCTGCTCTTGGGCGTCGAACGTGTAACATCAGCGTAACATAGGCGTTCTTATAATTTTCCAGTTATCTTAAAAACTACAACCCAGTCTGTTTCCAAACTACCAGTGGATCTGGCAGGCAAAATGTAAGTTACTTTAAATTAGCAGATGGAACATTATATAAAAAATTATTTTTCAAAAATAGGGAACGAAATAACAAGAAAGTTGTTCTTAGCCAAGGACGACAAATTATTTATAATTCAATGAGTTTGAATATATGAAGCGTGAAAAGGAAAGAGAAGAATTAACCATACCTCCTGGCCGTTTAATCGAGAAAGTAGCTGAAGCTACAGGTGTATCCATAAATAATGTGAAGCATGTTGTTAAAGAAAATCACTCCAAAAATCAGTCCAAACCACCGAATACAAAATTTACTTCTCCTCGAAAGACAATAACAAATCTAGACCAAAGTCGTCAGTGGATCAATTTAATGAAGAAATTATTAGAAATGTTATATACAAGTTCGTGCATATCCATAAAAGGAGACGTACAATGAAGGTGGTGTACGATGCTGTTATCAACGATGGTGTATCTCTTAAACCTGACGTCATTATGGAAAATAGTATGCAAATTGGGCTTCCGTTGGAAAATAACAGGAAGGTACTGATTGAACAGCCGGAGAACATAATACTGAAAGACCGAAGACTGAAAGATTACATAACCATAAGATTTAGGTGTGTAGATATAGTTCAAACGACTTGCGAATACAAAATGTCTAACTTTCTTCAGTACAAGAGAAATTGTTTTTATCTTTTAACCATAGACAAGCTTTTGTAGGCAGAAATAATATCGTTTACCTTGACGAAACATACATACATAGCTCACATACAGTACCGAAAGCATGGGATGATGGAACAGATAGTTGCTTAAAAGCACCACTTGTAAAAGGCAAATGCTTAATCATTGCACATGGAAACAAGCATTAGATCGCGTCACACAGTAGCCTTCCACCACTTACGTGTCAGGATGGAACTATTGTATTCGACTCAAAGGCCAAGGCGGAAGTGCTAGCCAAGATCTTTGCTGCCAACTCCACCATGGACGTCCCCACCAACGCCCAAGTGCCGTCAATTCAAAGGGTTCCCCACACTATGCGGGAGGTAACATTCAGGCATAAGACCGTAAGACGAGTGCTCTTGTCGCTCGACACCAACAAAGCTTCTGGTCCGGACTTGATTCCTGCCATTGTACTGAAGAGATGTGCAGCTGAGCTTGCTCCAGTTCTTTCGCGTCTCTTCCAGATATCTTATGAATCCGGCACCTTCCCAGAAAACTGGAAATTTGCTCATGTACAGCCCATCCCAAAAAAAGGATCTAAAACCGACCCTTACAACTACAGGCCTATAGCTTTGCTTTCTGTTATAAGTAAAGTGATGGAGAGGTGCATAAATCGCGAGCTTCTGGACTACCTCGAACGTCACAGCTTGATTAGCGACAGGCAGTACGGTTTCCGGCACCAACGATCCACAGTGGACCTCCTAGCTTACGTCACGCAACTGTGGAGTAAACTCATCCAGTCTCATGGTGAGGCTCATGTCGTTGCTCTTGACATCACGAAAGCGTTCGATCAGCTGTGGCACGCTGCCCTCTTGAGCAAACTTCCATCCTACGGTCTCCCAGAAAAGCTTTGCAGATGGGTGGCTGACTTTCTCTCTGGCCGCAAGATATCCGTCGTAATTGACGGATTCTCCTCTTCATCCCACAACGTCAGCGCGGGTGTTCCCCAGGGGTCGGTCTTGGCTCCAACACTGTTTCTCTTACATATCAACGACCTCCTTTCCTGCACGATCAACCCAATCCACAGCTTCGCTGATGACAGCACTCTGCATGCAGGGATTCAGAGTGACAAGCCGATCTCTGCCGCTGAGCTGGAAAAAAGAAGACTAGCGACGACTTCTTCTCTGACAAGAGACCTGGAGGCTATCACTGCTTGGGGACGCAACAATCTTGTACAGTTCAATGCTTCCAAAACACAGTACTGTACTTTGACGAACAAAAAGCGTCCTAGCGCTCATACAGTTTCGATGGACGGTCGAGTTCTACCAAAGAGCCATTCATTTCGGCTGGTCGGAGTCCAGATCACCGAGGACCTGATCTGGCACGAACACATCTCTTCAATAGCTGCAGCTGCTGGGAAAAAGCTAGGCTATTTGTTTAGGGCTAAGAAGTACTTTTCTCCGCATGACCTTCTCACTCTATACAAGGCTCAGATAAGGCCTAGCCTCGAGTATTGCTCACACATTTGGGGTGCTGCCGCCCCGACTACATTGTCCATGCTCGATGCTGTCCAGAGGAGGGCGGTCCGACTGATCGATGACTCTTCTCTAACAGACAGTCTCGGGACTCTTTCGCACCGGCGGGCCGTCGGCGATCTAGCTCTTTTCTATCGCTACACCAACGGGCTTTGCTCCTCAGAGCTCTCTTCCATGATGCCGCCGCGCGATGTGCCTACCAGACAGACCCGCCTGACTTCGGCGTCCCATCCTAACCGTGTCAAACTTTGTACATCCAGAACTGGCCGATACGACCGCTCCTTTGTCCCGAGGGTGTCTAGATTGTGGAACAATCTACGGGAGGAAGCTTTTCCCAGTTCTACTAACCTTAGGCAGTTCAAAAATCGTATTAACAAAATTTCTTTGGGATCATCATAGCAGCCGCGGTGTTCCGGCATTTAGGCTTCTGCCTGCGCGGCTGTTTCGATATAAAAAAAAAAAAAACTCCAGAGACATAGAAAAACGTTTGCGACCATGCATCAAGAGGAGGAAGAACACCTAAGTCGGGAATATATAATGGATAACGTCCAGGAATTTATTATAAGAATAGGCCATGACAGCGATGAATCTGCTGTCATCAGATAGTAGCAGTGAAGATGACGATGATTTAACATTGGGACTTCTATCTCAGTCTAACTAAAACGGATGTTCAAGTATCTTATTTTGTTTATTACGTAGAAATGTATTTTCGAACAAATTGTGTATTAGCCGGCTTTCATCATTAATTTGACATAATGGTTAATCTACTTTGTCAACTTTTGAGGTTTAAAAAAAAGCTGACAAAAAATCCTTACATTTTTTAACTCTCTTTTCTAGATGATATTTATTACAATGCTTATAGAATTAGGGTTATTTCCGTAATAATGATATTACACACAAACATGGTATATGTTGTAGACCCGCTGCTGGTGCTCCCCAATGTTTTTAGGAATGCATCTGAACGAGAGAGATAGGGGAATGTCCCTACTCTGTGTTCACCCACCTCCCCTCTTGCACATTGCGCGGCTTACGAGAAAGCGTAATAGCTCTACATATATGCACGATGCTTAAAAAAAGACGACTAAATAAGTTTGGCATGAACACTTGGCGCAATGCTGCCCACCATGATGAAATACTGCATGCATCTCTGTGATGGCAGGTGTATCAAACAACTGAGAGGTTTTAGTGATTATGCTGCATTATTACAATACAATATACAATACAATACTATCGAGCTTTATCCACAAATACACACATTGGTGGACAGCCAATAGGCAGTCGATAAGAACTTGTGAACAGTTTTGTGTATTTGTATAATAGAGATGTACATTAGCTCGCAAGGAGGCAGAATAAAATTAATAGTTGATCAAATCGATCAGTTTCAACATTTGGGCAACAAAGCCAACCATAAAAATACTTTTAGTTAAAAAAATAATACCAATATGCTTATTTGTTATATTAGAACCACGTACATTTTGTCGTCGCATTGTGACTCACAATAAGTACCTAAACACATAGTTCCATGTCCAGTAAACCGCCATGACTACCAATGCATTCCGCCTTAAGAAGTACCGGACATAAAAGACAGCGTTTGGTTTTTAAACAACCTTTTATTCGTTCAATGACACCCAGTACCGGATATTAAGGTGTACGACTTTATATGAGTACTACTTGGTTTTCCTGTAATCGTGGGAACTATGGTCTGGGGCAATGGACAAGGACTTCAGGTTTTCATGTACGAGCTACTTTTTGTTCAAGATGCCTTGCCCATACTTATTTTATCAAGCGGTCTATTTTCTGGCTGTTTATGCTTGGCCAAATCACCGTTGCTTGTCAGAGTAGTTCGTAAGTCCTTACCTCTTATTGATATAAGATGATAGCATCAGTTCATAAGTCTATCAAATCTGGTAATCCAATCTTAGAGAAAAACGGGAATAGGAAAAAAATAGGCAAGGAAGAGAGCAAAAAGCAAGGAAATATTCAATTGTACGAGACTTTCGCGGTCATTGTGCAATTAATTTATCCTTCTTGTGCTATTCGACCGGCTTCGCTGATTGTTAGTTCTCCATCACCAGTGGATGGCATCTTCAGAAGCGGTTCGATGTTCAAAGTTAACTTTTCGGTATTTTCTGTCTACCAGTTTCTTGGTAGTATATGGTAATATAGCTTTCGTTCGTCCAACCACAGACAGAAGGGTAGCTGTTTCATACTATTTGGCAGCTCCTCAGCAGGGTCTAGGCTTGGTCTCAGGCAGAACAACGGACAAAAGCTGAGCAACTATCCTCTATCCATATTCCGTGAGAGAAAGTACATGGAAAAAATATGGTAGGACCCCAGCACACGCGACTTCTTTATTTTGTGTTACCATCTATTTTTATACTGCACAAATCTCTCTGTAAAGGCTTTCCGCATTTTATACTGATCTTTGGTACGGATTACGAGCCCCTTCCCACTTCAGTTGGCCCATCTATTGAAATCTTACTTTTTTTCTTATCAAACACAAATAATAAAAATGTAGCAGGGTGATATAGGTTTAAAATATTAACAATGAATATTTTGATAATATATAGCCATGATAATTGTTTTTATTAATCACAGCTGTCAGAATACGTTTAAAATAGTTTTGGGTAGTTAAGGTTTTCAAAATGGGTAGAGGAAAGGTTATTAGTGAGAAAATTCGGTTACTGATAATTAAATTTTTTAATTCTGGGAAATCAAACTCAGAAATTGCAACTTCGTTAGACTTATCGCGGTACAGTGTGAGAAATATTGTTAGAAGCCACGATATGTGAAAAAAAGTAATATCACAAATGCCGACCGAAGAGCATTAAGAAGAATAATCGTGAAAAACAGGCGTGCCAATTATTTACAATTAAGTGCTCTGTGGAGTGACGCTGTTGGAAGGAGAATTTCGAGGTCCACAACTCATAGAGAGGCTCACAAACTGGGATTAATCACTTGCAAGGTAAGTTTTCTTATAAAAAAAAAGTGATGTAAAAACCAGGCCAAAGAAAACCCACTATTAACTCCACTGCAAAAGAAAAATCGGCTTAGATGGGCTAAAGAACATAGACATTGGACACCTCAACAATCGTGTGCAATACAATGGAGTGATGAGGCCCGATTCGAAGTTTGTGTTGGTGACAGTCGCAGTAGAGTTATTCAAAAAAATGAAACATTCCATGTTGACTGTCTGAAGAGAAAAGTTAAATTTCCAGCATCCATGATGGTCTGGAGCAGTATATCCTCAAAAGGACTAGGAAAACTACAAACAAATATTGGCAATTTTAGAAGAATCGCTTGTACCAGTGATGGAAGAATGTTTGACATCCGGCCAAGATTTTGTGTTTCAGCAAGATGGTGTAGCGTGCCGTACCTCAAAAAAGGCTATTAAATGGATGGAAGAAAGTAATGCACCACTTTTGAAATGGGGTTCTAGCAGTCCAGATCTGTCACCTATTGAAACTTTGTGGCACGAGATGACAAAGGTTCTACGACAACATCCTGCTCGTAGAATCACCGAACTGAGACGAAAGCTTCAAGAAATATGGGATTGTTTTACACCAAATTTTTGCCAAAACTTGGTTATCACTATGCCCCAAAGAGTTTCAGCCGTAATCAAAAACAAAGGTGATGTTACCCAATGGTAGTCTTTCAATTGTTACTTTGTTAACTTCGCGCATTTATTCGCACATTGTTTATTTGTTCGGATGTTCTATTAGTTATAGGTCTAAGTGATTTCAAATATGTATTTTTTACGACTAGAGTGTATCTAAAAGGTTTTTGAGAAAGTAAATTGTTTTAGAAGTAAATAGTTTCGTCATGTTTAGTTTATAAAGGCATATTTTGGTACAAATCTTGAAGTGGGCCAACTAAAGTGGGAAGGGGCTCGTATATTGAAGTACAACACAGTGGTATGGTCGCCAAATTCAGTTGGTGACATCAACTCCATTGAAACAGTGCAGCGTAACTATTACATTGGTCGGATACAGAATGCTTCAGAATAAATGAGTAGGTTTAACAACGACTCCTTGAAACGCCGCAGGGAAGTTTTTGATTTATGTTTTCTCTTTAAGATAGTTAATGGTGCCATAGATTGCCCAGAGGTGTTTGCACAAATAAATCTTAATGTCAATAGAAGACGATCTTGCAATACAGAACTGTTTACGATTCCACATCGTTTTACGAATTATTGTATGAATGAACCAGTTACATAAAATTCTAAGATCTGGCAACGCCGGTCTAAGCTACAACATAGATGTTTCCAGCATCAATATTAGGCACATCAAGAAGGACATGAAAATGTATCTATTTAACTTGGGTTTCTTAGGTTTTAAACGTAAATAGATTGGGTATCATATGACACTTTAGTTTAATAATTTATATGAAGTTATTGTAATCTGTCACATAAACGTAATATTTTCTGGTATGTAATGGGAATAAATAAATAACGTTATAGAGATTTTTTTTTATATTTTTCTGATAACTATTATGACCCGGCCAATCCCCGTTTCCGGCTTGACGTCGATTTCTGGGACACCCTGTATATCAATCGAATTTATTCAGCATTTTTTAGAAACACAAAAGGTTGAGTAAGCGCATAATGAAAGTGAAAACGAGTATTTTCTCAAAAGTATGAATCGTAAAACTAGTGATAGATATAATAAGTTTCGATTTCATCCGAAATAGGCTTAACATTAATTTATACATCGCATCGGTCATCGGGCTTATACATAAAACTGAATAGCATTTCTAAATATCTCTTTGATACCACGGAATATTTCTGAAGCCTCTGCAACACATTCTTACGGCCATCTTTCCATTGTACCTCATAATCTCCATAATAAGTGGAATCTGTTTATGTCTCCAATTATATCATTTTAATGCCGTTTTATTGCTAGTTCATCTTACTCAACCGAAATTATCTACTACAGTTAATCTATATAAAAAAAATCTCATTCGGGGACGTATTTCCTAGGAGGAATCAAGTATTTGCAACCAGAAGCTCTGAGAACGCTATTCATTATTCTGAGCATGCCATCTTGAAGAGGAGAAAAAGTGACAATGAGTCAGGAAAAAATAAAAACTATTTTGGAAAAATTCATTTTATTCCGACTCCGGAAATCTCCGAAACTTTCTAAGAGTCAATTTCTCAGGTACCTAAATGCAAAACTTTTCGAGGTACCAATGTGACATTCAAATATGAAACACCGGGTATATAACCAATTGTGTAGTGTGAGAACGTATGGTAAGAAGGCTTCTCACGTTATAACCCACACCTATTGATAGCAATAGTTTTCAAATCAATCTCAAATAGCCTTTTGTTGATATAACATCAGTCATATATCTAACTAATCAATTACATGTTTGATATAATTTCCCTGAGCTAATAAATCGTTTTGTCCACAAAATGCTCGATAATTATATAAAAATGTTTGTTTGATTGTCACGCTATAAAAAGCATCACTTTCAATTTCTATAATAAAAGTAAAAGTTCATTACCGCGTGGAAAAAATTCCAAGAATTAACAAACAAGATTAATGCTATGCAGACGAAACAACAAAACAATCGGTGCTTAATTTACCAGGAAAACCAACAAGTAGCTAAAAAATTGATATAAAATTACAAGTTTGGTAGTTTTTGTGTGTAATTTGAAAAGGTTGGTAATGGGGGTACGAAGAAAAATAAAAAATATTTAGATTTGCCTTTGTCGTTCTCCATGCTCTCCTATAATGTCAACCTTCAAAGTCTT